GCCTCGCGGGGAGGGCGCGGGGCGCGGAGGGCCGGGGCCGCGGGGCCGGCGTCGCGCGGCCGCCCTGCTGTGCGGAGGACGGCGCGGGGGCGCGCGCGGGGCCGGGCTCGTCCTGCGGGGCTTCCCCGCGCGGTGTTGCGGGGCGGCGCGGGGGTCGCAACCCGCCGCCCCGCCTGCCGCCTCGTGGCTCTCTAGGAATTGCGGGGGGCTGCGCGAACGCCCGCTGCCAGCCCGGCGGGTTTGCACGCGCGGCCCGCACGTGTTTCGGTGCCACCGCGCTCCCCCCGGGAGAGGCACCCCGCACCCCGTGGGGGCAGCGCCGGCGCGGTCCCCGCGGCACAGAGCCAGGGCGCGGCGCGGCGCGGTAGCAGCTGGCAGGCCTCCCGGAATAAGCCGGGAACCCCGGAATCGCTTGCGTGCTCTTCGCGCTTTGTGGCTTATGTCCCGACCGTCCTCTTCCCTCCCTTTCAGCCGGAACCTGGGGCGACAAATGTTAGCTCCCCAAGCCAGAGACCAGTGTGCAAAAAGCCCCCTCCCCACCCGCCCAGCTGGATTTATCTTCCCCATGTGTGTTTGTTTCCAAACACATTTAAAACTTTTTTCCCTGAACCTTGTTTTTGCCGAAGAAGGCAGTTTCCAAATGGGTTTTCTTGTGCCAGGAGAAAATTTTTACAGTATTTAAACATACCCTGCATTGCCTTGTGTGTTTCTATATTTGATTTCTTGTATAACTTAGAAAGGCTGTCCCCACTTAAAATCCAGATTTTTGTGTCTATTTTCTTTTTAAAAAGAAAGAAAGAAAGCAAGCAAAGAAAAAAGCAGTGATAAATTTAGAAGTGGGTGTTTTTCATTGTACATGGTGTACTTGGCCGAGGAGTTGCTTCAGCAGGGCAACTTTCCCATTAATGATTCACAAACTTTTAAACAGAATTTAAAAACAAGCAAACCCCGACTCTTTTGGCTTGGGTGCTGCCTAGAGTCTGGAGCCGGTCGCTAGGAAACCGGTCCTGGCCTGAGTGCTGGATTCCAATCACCCTGCAAGGACTGGGCTGCGGCTGCGGCTTCCAAGGACGATGGAGTCGGAGTCGGTTGCTAGCGACAAGGATGCCTCGGAGGTGCCTGGCCCTTGGGCTGACGACGGCCCTTGGCAGGACAGTGCCTTACACGCGAGTAGTGCTCTCCAGAACGAGCCTGGCTCATGCCCGCTTTCCTTGCGCTGCCAGGGAAGGGCCGTGCAGTTCCATGCCCTCTCTCCCGCTTCCTCTCCTGCCTCAGGCATTCTTTGCAGAATGAGGGAATATTTTCCAAACTGAAGCTGAAATATGCACCAAGGCAGCCAGCTCAGGCCCGGGAATATCTGCGCTGCAGAGGGTGAGGGTGCGAGTGGAGCCAGAAGTTCTGGTGGCAAGAGGAGCAGGGCGAGACGAGACGAACGACGCTTCGCTTTGGGAGGGGTCGCTCACGCTGCGCTGCGCCCTTTGGCAGGCAGTTGACCTAATCCCGCGGCGTGTGGTTAAGATTCAGCAGGCTTGTGTTTGGGTCCCTGTCGGCACGTGTAGTCATTCAGTGGTCATTCAGCCTGCCTACCTCGCAGGGTTGTTGTGAGGATAAACGGGGGGAAATTTGCGTGTGCTGCTCTTGAGATCTTCAGAGGAAAGTTGGGATAACAATGCGATCAAAATAAGGAGTGCGGGTTGCTTCTGCAGGGCCTCTTAAAATGAGGAGAAGGGGCATGAAAAGGGTCAGTGGGACTCGCCTCACGAGCAGTGACTTGCTGTGGGTGACAAGCAGTGGCAGGAGCTTTATGTTTGCCAAGGCTTTGTCTGAGGTGCGTGATGGTGGCAAGACCGGTTTTGCCAGACCCATGGCGCGGTTCGGAGCAAGACCTTGGGCCCGCCTAGCCCCATGTTAGTGACCCTGACGGGCACTTAGCAAGTGCTCTCCGGCGCCTCAGGCAGGGCCTTTTCTGTCCCTTCTGAGAGATGCCATCAGGGTTTGAACTTGGGTCCTTCTGCGTGCAAAGTAGAGAGTCCTTTTCTTGATAGCAAAGCAAGGCTCCAGTCCTCATGGTTCTGAAGAAAGCACTAAATTAAGTTTAAATGAAGAAATGCCCTTATTCTGTATCCACAGTCTTATAGTTGCTATTAATTGAAGGCTGTGAATTTTTATGTGTGTGTGATTCTTTTGTATTTCTGTGCTTTGGATTTTTATTGATAAACAGCCATATGGTGGGTAATGTTTCCTGAAAAGTGGGCTAGAAATTATCCAGTTAACAGATAAAGTGTGCATATGTGATAGATACAAGCTCGGCCCCTCCTTGAGATGTCCATTGATCCAATAACTTCTTTCTTATTCAGTGTGTTCACACCAAGTAACGGACTTGCTGGAAAGCATTTGTAGAAAACCTACAGAAAACCGTCAAGAGCTGAGGAACCAAACAATCAGGAAAAGGCTGAGAGAATAGACAGTGTTGGGTTTTTGAAAGGGAGAAACCAGGAGGGAATACTCACCGCAAGAACAGAGAGAGCAACCGTACACTCTGTTCTTTGAGGATAAGACAATAAGCCGTGGATTAAGCTAAGATCAGGTGAGATGTGTGGGTGGACTTCCAAAATCTGGATTATGCCAGCTGCAGTCAGATGCAACGGAATGACTGAAACGCCTTTCTGGAGCTGACTGCTGGTATGTCCCCCGAAGTGAAATTATGTGTGAATTCACGCACTCTTTCCTTGAATAGTTTCAGGGGAAGCGGCAGTAATTCCATTGAGACCAGTGGAATATTTCTGGGTGTTTCTGCATACCTCCTCTGGGTCTGGGTCTGGGTCTGGGTCAAAGAATGACAGGCATAGGACACATTTGATTTAGGTTAACATCAGGGCAGGTGTGATGGGCTCATATCTACCCGTAAAAAGGGGAGCAGAGTTCCCCAACTGGACTTGTAACTTGCCAGGACCACAGGATGGCCAGAACTCAGGTGACTCAAATCCAGAGGAGGCTGGAGATGCGCCATCGGGAGTGGCCTCTTCAGGTGCCGCCTGGAGCCGCTGCCACTGTGCCCGTGGACCGGCTGATGCCGCACCCTCTTCTGGGCTCCACTTGAGAGCATCAGCTTATGGCCTTGCAGGATCCGTCCAGAGGTCCCCCTGCTCTGCTAGATACACCAAGCCGTACTAACGCTCACCAGCGTGTCTTCTGTCCCGCAGCTCAAAAGCCCAACGTCGCCTGACATGAGTGGCAAGAAGAACAGAAACTGCCAGGCTCTCCAGTGCATTCCAGGTACGGAGAAAGGGGTCAAGTTTTGGGGTGTGCGTGTATGCTGGGGGTGGGGTCATTCAGGTGGCCGAGTTCCCACAGAGAGAGACAACTGCAAGCCCTAAAACCCGTCCTGTGCCCCATGTGAGCGGGTGGGGAGCTTGCCCCAGCGGCAGGAGGGAGGGCTCTCTTGAGGGGCTTCGCCGTGTGCTCCCTCGCCTGCAGCCCAGCCCAACAACGCCGAGAGATTCCCTTGCAAGCACAGCTGCACGCACCCTGATGCTGCACGCCAGGGACCCGTGGCCCCAGTCCGTTCCGCAGGGCTCCAGCGCTGTTCAGGAGAGCCCACTGGTATCGGCGGAAGGTTTCCCCCCTAAGCTTAGCGGCTACGCTGAGGATGATTTTCAAAGGGATGGGCTTGCTGCTTCAGAGGAAAGGGTTAACTCTTCCCATGTGGTACATCTGCCTGTCCCACCTGCCATGATCTTTCCTCTTCCTTCAGCATCACAATCAAATTTATCGGGGCAGATCAACAGGCATTCTTTTCATCTGAGATGGTTTGGGTGAGAAATGAATTGGCAGGCTCTGCGAAATTTAAATCCTAGTACATTTCTACATTTGCCTGTATAGCTATAAATCAGCAATGTGTCCCTTTGTGTCATATGGACTTGGCTGCAGATGCATGGCAGCACCTGACTCAGTATGAGAGGAGGGGCAGAATGTGGCAGTCCAGGTTGCTAATGTGCCTGCAGAAGCTGTGCCACACGCCCACCCGCCCGCCCTCCTGCCTTCCTTCAGGGGCAGAGGATCATCCCTAGAAACCTAATGTAATTAGGGGGACAGTCCTCTGCCAGGTTGCATTTCATGCAGCCAAGAGTTGCCTAGAGGGGGAGAAAGGTTCTGCCCATCACTATATCCCACAATTTCATGCTGTCTTAGGAATGTATGACAGATTCATTTTAGTTTGGTCTCAGCCAGAATTTATTCAGCTTTGCACCTTCTGGATGGAATACAGACTTGGACACAATCCGTGGTTGAAGTCTTTGCATTTTTGAGGTTGCAATGTGATTTGCAGGCTCCCAGAACTGACGACATGCAAACATTTGAAAAACATATGGGAAAATGTGTACTTCTGAAAAAGGTGTATCTGCGTTTTCATGCAGAAGAAAGCAAAGCTTGCTTTCTGATGTGGACGATCTTTGTACCCTTAAAGGCTAGAATGACATTCTAGTTTTTAAATTAAAAATATGTTTATGACGTTGGACTTTGGATTCGGGATCAGTTTTTCTGCTTGGGCCATGTGATCTGTGACACAGGCCAGAATACACCTCCTACTCTGTTTCGGGGCTGCAGGTTATGCCGATGGGCCTGCAGAGTTTGCCGCTTCTGCAAGAGCTTAATAGGACACACGCTGTTGATCAGGATGTTGCACCTGTCTCTTCTCATCCCTTCTCACTTGGTAGTAAAAAAAGAGAAACCGTGGCTAAGTCCTGATGGGCCTCACTTTAGATCTTGCCCCTGGTTCCATCTTCCAATTTCAGGGCTCTCTGGGCTATTTCTCATGGAGGAATAAAAGCTTTGTTAGAAACTTGGTTTAAAAATGGAATGTGTCCAACTCTAGCAGGAGGGTGGGAAGGGTTAATCCTTCCTTGCACGCTTCAGCGCAACTGTCGGAAGGCATTCTGCAGGCGGGAGGGGCAGTGAAACTGAACAATGGTCACCAAGGCAGATGGTCCCCCGCGGCCGTCACTGGGTTGTATTCTTTGCTTACATAACTGGCCAGGAATGAACGCTACTAAAGGCACCTGTTAGCAGGGGAAATTACTCTCAAAATGCCTGGTGCAGAGGCTTCTCTTCCCAATTCTGTTCTTAGAATTTGAGGAGCAGGGTTGTGGGGGTGATGCCCTGTGCGGCTGGGGAGCCTGAGTTTATTGTGATTGCTTTGCTGTTGCTGCGCAGCGCTCTCTGTAAAGGAAGGCTGCTTGCAAAAGAGAGCCGACAGCTGTATTCTGGGCCCCTGGACTCTTCATCATTCAGTGGTAACCCTGCTGGAGTGAGGACAAGCAAATACGAAACAGAAGAGAGCAGCTTGCCTTTGAGAGAGGGTGGCTGCAGAGGACAAAAACAGGACGCAGATGCACCTAAAACTTGCACATAATAGTTTGTACTAGAGATGAAATAATTTAAATAGAATAGACTTCTTAAATAGACTTAAATAGAAATGTAGCACGTTCCATCATAGCAGAGCTGCAGGTGAGCTGGATGCCTGCTGTCCAGGCGAGTGAAGCTGGGGGTGGGTAACTTCCAGGCCCTCCTTCAGGCTCTCTGGCTTGAAACCAGCTTGGGCTGGTGGCCCTTCCCAAAGGGAGCAGTGTCCAAACAGAGGTCTGCCCTCTGCCAGCACTCCGGAGTAGAGAATTGTCCTCCGGAGAGTCAGAGATGTCTGCTCTACTTTCAAAAATAAAGTGGTGCTTGCGAAGGAACGCTGAAAGCCAAAGACCGCTTGGGTGCATGTGCCCAGGAGGGCCTCAGGGACAGGTTTGCACCAGGCAGCCTCGTGCCTTGAGGGCAGCGGGCGAAAGGCCCTTCCCGCCTGGCCATCCTGAAGAGGAGTTGTCTGTGCCAGCAAAACCCCAACACAGTCTTGGAGTGCCCTGAAGACGGACACTCTTGACTTTTGCTCTGCGCTTTTGCAGACCGGCTCATTTCAGCAGGTGCATGAGGCGCTACGAAGAGCTCAGAATGTTTATGAAGTTCGTATGTCAACATGGGGAGATTGCTGCAAACAGCAGCCTCAGAAGAAAATCCGAGTTGCCCCTGGTTCTTCAGGCTTTTGGTTTCAGTTCATCCCTGCACCAGGTTTTAACTTGAAAAAAGAGAGTGTTGTTTTCTCCCTTCATCAGAATGGCTGGAAGGCAAGAGTCGTATTTGGAAACAGGAAGGGAGTGTCCTGCTGGCAAATGATTAATGGGAGACTGTAAGAGGCAGCTTCAGAGACTGGGTGTCTGCAAAAGCAGAGGTCTTTGCTCTCTGTGAGGTGCCGCTGTTGCTTAGACACCAGCACTTGAGGCTGCTTGAGAGTGGCAGGCGCGGTTTTTGCTCAGCGACTGGTCTGTCTGGTAATCGACTGCAAGGAACAGAGGAGAGAGAACCTTTTGATGATCAGAAAGCATCATGAGTATTCCTGGATGAAGAATGCATTCCATTTCGGTTTTTTCTGCTTTTGAATGTTTAAAATCTCAAGCTCTTCCTCTCCATTATGCAAAGGTGGAAAGTCTGGGAAAGTGCAGAAGAAGCTGTAATTAAATTCTCACTCATCTGCAGGAGTGCAATTCAACAGGTGCAGTTATTCCCAGCATGGCAAGAATGCTCTTGCACCTGCCTGCTGTACAACTGCTCAAGGTGAAGGGCCCCCTATAAGCCAGAAGAGATGGGAACCCTAATTGAACACCACAAATGTGGTTGAATATGTAGGAATTCAAGGCCATACGCTAAGAGTTCAGCAGTACAAGCCCTTGGACAAATCTGTCTGTTTTGATTTTCTTGCATATTTAACTTTTTAAAAAGTTGTTTCCTCTCAGAACATGGAGGAATGTGTAGGTGTTACTAAATTCCTAACAAAATCAACCCAGACTTAAACTTCTAGCCATCCTTCCCCCAGAGAGCTTGCAGAGAGAAGGGAGCCCTCTCAGACGCTGTTTTCCCTCATCTCCAAAGCGCCTTTCACTGTGGGACTTGCCAAAGTCTCCACATTTTCTTGGAAAATGGCTCAGGATGCTTTTTGGTAGCCGGAAACTGGCAAGACGGCAGTTCTGCCGCTTAGGATGTGTGTCAGACACAGGTAAACCTCCAAGCTCCATCTGCGGCTGCCTTCCCCTCAGTTGTGGATTAATTGTTCCCCGCAGGTGAATACATACAGGAGGTGGCCGGCCACGTGAGGAAGCGTGTCTCTTCCCGAGATGGTGAAGGATACATCCAAGGCACCCTCTATTGTACCAATCTAAGAGTGGCTTTCTTACCAAGCCCGTCTCCAAGCACTGAGGTAGGTTCTCCAGTGGGACACGGACAGAGCAGCCAGACACCATTCAGTCTGAGGGGCTGGGGGGGGGACTGCAAAAGGCGGGAGGGTAACAGATGGCCCAGTGTGCCCAGTGGCAGCATGCCATGGGTAACAGAGAGAGAACCCTTGGCTATAATCCCCCTCTTGATGTCCAAGAACTGTTGCCTTCCAGGTGTAGTTCAAGTCGTATATAGCCTGGACTCACTAAAATGCAAGGGACTTAGCTCAGTGATGACTAATGTAAGCCTGCTCTGTGTTCACTTGATCTTTGGTTCTGATAAGTTGTCTGTCACGTGGCAAACGGGCCCAGACTTGCTGGCCTGTCACAGAAAGTGAAACTCTGTGGAATGCTGCAACCCAGCCGGTCAAGGCCACAACCTGCAATCTCGGGCTCACGGCCCCTGCTCCCTTCTGGGCCATTAAGTGACGCTCCTTCAGCGCAGGCCACCTGCCCCGTCCCTCCCAGTGGGCTCGGCGGCCACGTGCCCTGTTTTGGCACCCTTTCCCCTGCACGCTTGTGCAGAGTGGAGCAGAGCCGGGGTGGCCATTATCTCCCAGGGAAACTGCAGCCCTGGCCTGGGAGTGGAGGTCTGTGCTGAGAGCACAACTTCCAGAATTCACAGTGGAAGCCACGGGGAAGCTGCTGGTTCCCAGTGCAGCAGTGCGGCTGTCGCTTTGCGAGCTGCCACTGGCAGTGCTGCTCTTGGGCTGGATACGTGACGTGGAACAAATTTCTGGCGGCCGCTACAGCTTCAGGACCTTGCAAGCAGGGAGCAGAGAAGCTATCAGAAATGACACGATCATGACTTGACAAAAGCACTTTCTTCTCTCCCCCTCCAGGACTGCTCCTGCCGCCCTTTCATGCACAGCGACTATGACGTGGCCTTTCCTTGTATCGGGAGGCTAGTGGCCGGTAAGGTTAGAGGAAGGCTTAGTAGGTGGGCTCTGCATTATGGTAAGCCAACCCAAGACATTTGTAGGGGACGGGACAGAAAAGCTTTACATACACACGTACATACATTAAGGCGGTCAACTGTTTCTTCTCTGACAGTGGTCCTGCACCTTAAATTTTTACATGGTACCCCGGGGCTTAAGTGATGCAGCTTTCCCCAAAAAGCTTTGTTAGAAAAGCCCAGGAAGCAATCAGAGGTGATCGGCTCTAAATGCAGGAGGTTTGCTAAGTGAGGTGCTTTGTTTGGCTCAAGGCACTCTTCATTCTGCCGGTGCTTTGGAACGCTAACAACACAGAAAGAGGAATGTGTGTTTATTAATCCTTGTTCTATTAAAAGGAAGGAGGAAGAACATGGGTCCCCTGTGGTTTTCTGAATAACTGCATGCTGTTCAGCTGGACCTGCATCTATTACGCATTTAAAACATAACATCAAAATTCTGCAGCTGGTACAACCAGAACCCACTTTACATATTTGCTTTGTTTCTGTTGCTGTGGTGGGATGACTGCAGAACCCACTCGGCTGCCCCCCCCCCCCGTCCTGCAGTTGCAGCTTCTGAGAACTGTACATATTGCAGTGTTCGTGCAGTTTCAAATCAACTTTCATTAGGCTTAAGGGCTAGAAATTTGCCTTGAAAATAAAAATTAAAGATGACTTTTGCAGGCTGCGAAATCCATAGATGATCCCATATGCTTGTGTAGAATGATGAAGCAGTACTGCCCTGACCTCCCCATCATATAAAAGTCTTGTCTTTCTAAACCCCTCCACCTTTTCTGCTTTTCTGCCCCGTATTCATGTAACTGCCTCCCAGAACAATGGCACGATGCCCCCTGTTCTGCCCCCTTCAAATCTAAACTTGGCATAATCCCCCAGTTCTGCTGCCTCACGGGGGCACTTCCCCTCGCCGCACCGCAAACTTCCACTCACACTGTTAGGGCCACGGCCAGTTATCTGCAGCTCCTTCCAACAACCGTGCCCACAAAAACTTGGTTGTTGTCCTCCTTACCCCAGTTAACAGCTTCACAAAGGCCAAAGTGCTGACACGTTCGTCCACCTTGAAGTTCATCCCGGAAGAGCTGATCATCTGCTGCAGGGACTTCAGGGTGCTGCGGTTCCGCTTCCACGAGAGTGGCTTGGAACCTCAGGCCTTTCGGGTGAGATGCGGGGCGGACCTGGGATTCGGCAGGAGTGGGAGATGGAGCAATACAGCCTGGATGGGGTGGGAGTCTGTCGGCTGTGTTTCCACGGCATTTGCACAGCTGCTTCTTGAAGAACCAGGCATGTGCCCACAAGCCAGTCAGCTGTTCCCCCATCGTGGAAGGCACCTGGAAGGTTTGCATGCCCTTCCGAAAGCATGCTCTGCCCCCCCCCCAGTCCAGGAGCTAGCACTGATGGGAAGGGGGCTGTGAAGACCCCCATCTAAAACCCTGGAGAGAGCTTGCTGCCACTAGCACTGGCAGTGTGAGCTGGATGGACAGAGGGTCCGAAGGGGTAGATGGTGGTCTCCTCTGTGAGTGCATTCCTAAACTGCTGCAGATGCCGGAAATCTGCACTGCAACGTCCCCGAGCAAAGTCCCCCTCGCCTCCACTCGTCACGCTCCTGTCCCCAGAGAGCCTTCCTAACACTGAGCTCTGGCTGGAGCCCTTGCGTGGGGCCCCAGCAGAGAAAAGTGCACTGTGGCCTGTGCGCAGAGCATGTGAAGAGGACCATCTCATCCCCTCCCAAACTTGGAGAGGGCAGTGTGTGAATGCGTGCAGCACCACCTGTGGGTTTTCTGTGGGGCTATCAGGATAGCACCAGCCGTGGGCAAAAGGTGGGACGTATTTGGCATCGCCTTCCGCACCTGTGTTTGCAGGTGACGATGGCCATCGCCCAAGCTCAGGAAGGCAGCAGCTGGGACAGATGCTACGAAAATGCAGTTCTGAAGAATTTGGGTGAGCGCGGGCACGCGTGGGCTGAGAGGAGTCGGGGAGGGCTGCCTTGGCCTCGGCTGCTGACCAAGTGCATCTTTGCCTGTTCCAGAGAACAGCCAGCTGAACAGACAGAAGGGGGAGCCGGAGGGAGAGTTCCCAGTGCTGCTCTTCGAGACATTTGGCGACTGGGAGAAGGAGCTAATGCGGCTTGGGGCCACCGGCTGGAGGGTCAGCCCCGTCAACGAGCGCTTTGACATGTGCACCAGGTAGAGCAGAATGGCCGTCTCGCTCTCCCGCCTCATCGGCCTTGTGCTGTGGCCTGGCAGACGAGGCTCCGGCTAGGTCAGTGTGGGGAGGCCAGCGGGCTGTAAATGAGACCGCGGGCGTAGCGGGAGCTGGACTCGCAGGGAGCCAGCAGAGGCAGTTTTGCTCAGTGGCAAGGTCCCAGAGCCGGGGGCGGGGGCACCTTGAAAGGAAGCTGGTGCTCTGCAGCAGAGCAGCTGCTTTAGTGTGTACCAGGCCTGAGTCCGGGTCCTGCCTCTTGAGGCATGGCCAGGAGATGGTGTTTTCAGCTAGGGTGGAAGATGGTGGGCTGGACCCTGGAGGTCTCTCGTGGTGTTCCAGGGGTGTTGGCCTCAGCTCCCGCCAGCCAGCAGAGCCGATGAGGGGAGTTGCAGGCCAGAACACCCATGGGAGAACACGTTCCCAGTCCTAATGCTCAGAATGGCATGGAAAGAGAAAAGGAGCTGTACTGGGTTCCAGCTCCTGCCTCGGTGAATACATTAAAAGGCCACCTGGCATTTAATTTCCAATGTAAAGCTTCCCACGCTACTCCTACTGTGAGAATTATTTTAACAGCACTCTCTGGGAAGAAAATGCAGCCTTGGAATTCATTCTGTATATTAGAGTGGCTACGGTGCAGTTGGTCTATCAAAATAATGATAGCTTACATCTGAAATATGGGATGCGGGAGGGAAGGGGTGGGAGGAGACTGCTTGTGAGCCCCTCAGCAGTGCTTGCTTCGGCCTCTGGGAGCTCCGGCCCAACGTACCTGGAGGTCAACAGGGTAGGCGAGGCAGCTGCTTGTGGGTTTCTTTCCCCCTCCCTCCCAACGCACACGACAGTTGCACATGGCTCCTGAGCATCCTTCTGCTTCCTCCTCGCAGCCTCCCCAAATACTTGTGGGTCCCCAGTCGCTTTCTGGACAACGAACTGAAGAGAGCCTTTGTGCACTTCAATGAACGACGCATCCCGGTGAGCGTGAGACACCTGGGCCGGGGAGAGGAGCGGGAAACGTAGCGGCTGCTCTTCAGGTGAAGGAGAGGCAGAGTGCAGTGGGAGGCTGGCAGCGTGTGGCATCTGCAGGAGGGCTTCCGCTGCACCCCCTCCCGGCAGCCCAGCGCTGCCCCCTCGCCGCTTGCCGGGCCAGGCTTTGCTTCTCCTTTCAATCCGACAGACTGAGCCCTGTGGCTCGCAGGCCTGCTCAGGGCTGTGGTGCCAGCTCGCCAGGCACATGGGCAGGTGGCCACCTGGCACAGCCACTGGCCCTGAGAGTGCAAGCCCTGGAGCTGGCCCCTCATGGCTGTGCTCCTGCCACTTCCCCCCGTCCGCCTGGGTTTTTGCTCTCCATCTGATGGTCTCACCTTCTTCTGCCCCTTGGCATGGGCTCAGCGCTTGGCACAGGCCTGTTCTGGCCACCCCGGCTGCGTCAGCCACCGACCTCCCACCTTTCAGGTCTTGTGGCCCAGCCGCTGGGCCCCTGAGCCTGCTGAGACCTGGTAGCAGCCTTGGGCCCCTGCAGCAGGACAAAAGAGGGTGTGAATGTGATGGCAAGCAGAGAGCAACCAAGCAGAAGGATCCCCGTTTGCAGCAGGCACACGTATCCTGCTGCAATGTTTGGTCAAAACACACTTTCACGGCAGCTTGGGAAGCTGCATTTCAAAGGCCTGCATAGCCTGTTTGCTCAGTGGGGTGAAAAGCATTCTGTTCAGCAAGGGAAACGGCGATGCACCGGGGTAAGCGCTCCTAAAGACTGTCCAGTGATGCCGAGGTCTCATACTTGTGTATGTTCAACACGGGTGGAGTTGCCGTTACACGTGCGGACACAGGAGCACCAGCCTGGATCCCTGTCAAGCCTTTCCCTCAAGGGCCTGATCTTCTGGGGGTGGGAGGTGGGGGCTTCCTAGGACTGTTGGAAGTGCAAGGTAAAACTAAGCCTTGAGCAGGACAGCGGGGGAATTGGGTTTTGTGAGCAAGGAGCGGAGTGATTTGCCCAAAAGGAGCTGCTGCGGGAGAGAAGAGGGCTTGCTTCTGAGGCCAGCTAAATTGGTGGGACAGAGTTCATGCCCTTTCCTCCCACTATTCTGCACAGCGGTTGTGCTGGCACCACCCGGGAGGCAGCGATCTCCTCCGAGCAGCCAGCTTCCATGCCGAGTCAGACCCGGAGAAGGAAGACTTGAGGTAGGCCACCCACGGGAGGAGGGGCTCCGATAGGGTGGGGTGGCCGAGCAATGAGGGAGGCTTGGGAGGAAGCCCCCGATGCTCGGGATCAGGGCGGGCCTGGAGTCACGGTTTGCCTCCGCAGGTCGGTGGAAACGCTGATGCTCGCAGGCCATTCCCAGTGCGTGATTGTGGAGGCGGCGGCTGACCTGCCCAGCCCACCGGAGATCCAGCAGGCCTACTCCAGACTGTGGAACCTGTGCCTCTGCCTCGCTGGTGAGAAAGTGCACAGGCAGTGACCCTGCCTTGGCCCAGGTGTGTCCCTCGCCAGTGGGAGGAGGACCAGGAGCAAGGGCATTCCCTTTCTAGCAGGGTGGCTCCAGGAGGAGCCGCTGCCTCTGCATCCAGGCCACTGGGTCGGGCCCAGCTGCAGAGGGCGTGCGGAGGTGTGCGAAGACCGGGGAGCCGCGAGGGGAGGGGAGCACTGGTGCTCTCCCAGCATGAGATCCTTAACCCACCCAGCCAGGTAGGAAAATGCTGTAAGAGGGTGGAAAGATGAGCGTCAGACAGAGCCCCTGCAGGACTAATGCCACAGGCAGAACTCACACACGGGGTGCTTTGGCTTCAATGTGAAGTTTTTTCCATGGGGTCTGTTAATAATACGGTCAACTGCTGGGAAATCCTATGTTGTGCTTGCTTAGGGGACCTGATAGACTAGTGGGGATAGGCATGAGCTACAGAAAGTCCATAGTTCAAGCCTCACCTGTGTTGTAAACAGGCAGGGGGGTTTAGGTTAAACACTGTCTTTCAGCCTCAGCCCCAATACCTGCAGTATGGGTTTAATACTACCACCCTGCCTTTCAGGATAGTTGTGAGGATTATGGGAAGAAAATGGTTTATAATTTCAAAATTATGCTCTGAACACTTACGAGTAGTTCAGATTTTGATGATGCATGTGTCTGCATGGACTAGGCCCCATTTTCCACTAGAACAATTTTCCCTGGAGTGTGAGGTCCTTTTGCAGAATTCCTGAGGCTGCTTAGTAACTGCACACTGTGGGTGTGGGAGAATGTTCTTGCTCCAAGAGGCCACAAATGATGCATCGGAACAAAAATAATGCCAGGCCCATTTCTTCTCGCTGCCTTGAAACCTGTGACAGTCCCAGAAGCCACTTGGGGATCCTATTTTTGGAAGCACGGCACAGCTGATTCCTAGGGATCGTGAAACACTGGGTTCTGTTTTTAGTTCTTCTCATGACATTCTGCTTGTGTTGCAAAAGCATGAGAGATCCGTACTGCCGCCTCTTTCCCCACCACAGTGCCTGGATGCTGTTTTTAAATGGTGGTGACCCTGCTGACTTTCTTGCTGCCTGCTTCCAGATTCATCTGCTGCAACGTCAGATGAGAAGTGGCTCTCGAGCCTGGAAGGCACACGGTGGCTGGATCACGTGAGGTGAGATGCATCTCCCGTCCTGAGTGCCAGGGAATGACCACAACTAAGGCCAGCTCCTCCACGTGCGTCTTCGAAAGCGCCAGATGGGTTGGTGAGGATGGGCGCTGCTCAGGATGGGCAGGGGGGCCACTGCTTCACAGGTCTGCTAGCTTCACTTTGCATTCTCAGGACCTCTCTGCATGAAGGGGCTGCTTACTCCATTGCTTTGCGGAGGCTTCTTCCCCCATTTTTGTTGTGGGAGGAAAAGCACGTCCTTCACAAACATCCAGGAGCAACGAGCTAAAGGCTAAGGACCCGTTGGATGGGAGAGGTGCTGGTGTGGATCTCAGTCCATGCAGGGATGGTGACTTGTGAACTCTCCCTGGGAGCAGATAGAGGCCACTTGGAGAAGGGCCTTTCCTGATAGCCAGCCATCACATCATCGAGCCCACTCAGAGAGGAATCTCTGAAGATAGGCTTGGCAGAAAGATATGGGACAAAGTGCCTTGCAGGGAGACTGGTCCTAAGCCCTTTAGGGCTTTCAAGTTCAGCACCAACACTCTGAGTGAAGACCAGAATCTGACCTGCAGCTGGGGCAGCTTTGCAGTGATACGTTTGAAATGGCCACTAGGGATAACTTCATGGCTAAGTGCCTCTGTGGTCATGCAAGCACCAAGAATAGAAAACATCCATTTTGAAGCAGGTTGAAAAGGGGCTAACAGGTTCTAAACGTTGTTACATGTTTAGTAGGTTAAAAGTTTATGTTTTTGAGGAAGTTTTAACCACCCTCAGACTGTTCAAACTATTCTGAGACTATCATTTTGAAGTTGTTCAGAAAAATTAAATCAAGGTCAGACAGCTGCCAATTCTGTCCTTCAGTCATGAAGCATGGGCAAATTTGTCCATTTTTGTAACTTTTGGAAATATGTCGGATAAGGGTCTTCCTAAGGCCAACATTGGTAAATTTTACCATTAGAATTGTCCTTCAAATCCTATGAGATATTGTTACTGCAGCTAACACCTCTTTGTAGAAAGGTAAAGGTTTCCCCATGACCTTAAAGTCCAGTCATGTCTGACTCCTGGGGGCGGTGCTCATTTCCGTTTCCTAGCCGAGGGAGCCAGCGTTTGTCCGCAGACAGTCTCCACGGTCATGTGGCCAGCGTGACTAAACACCAAGGTGCACGGAACCCTGTTACCTGCCCACCGAAGTGGTACCTTTTTATCTACTTGCATTTGCATGCTTTCATACTGCAAGGTTGGCAGGAGCTGGGACAAAGCACGGGAGCTCACCCCGTCTGCGGGTTCAAACAGTCGACCTTGCGATCAACCAGCCCAGCAGTTCATCAGTTTAACCCACATCCCTGACTCTCTGTACCCTCCTTCAGGTGCTTCCTTCTGAAATGCAGAATGATACGGGGGAAATTTGGGGTCTAGAGTATGACTTGAGCCTGCTGCCAAACAGAACGCAGGATGGCTGCAATCATGTGATTTTCCTTTGTAGGGCGTGTCTGAAGAAGGCCAGCGAAGTGGCCATGCTGCTAGCTGAGAGGAGTCGATCAGTTATTTTGCAAGGTAGGGAAAGTTCCTTTGTCCTCCCCCTCTGGTGCAGAAAGAGCACAGGACAAGTGACAGGACGCGTGACGTCCCACACCCTGGGCACTGTTCCAAGGACAACGAGTGGATGGCCACTGGTGGTTCCAGGCTTTGCTTCAGGCATGGATGCATGTGGCTACTTGGGAACGGACAGCTCCTGGCCCTAGAGGATGACCACTTTTTCACTGCAAGCCTCAAGTGGAATTGTGGCTGACCATCTGGACTGTGGGAGGCCTGGTCCTTTCTCAGTGTGTGCATCTCACTGTGCTCCACCTACATGGTGGGTATGGCACAGCCACAGGGATTGTGTTGTCTTCCCACACCCCATCATCGTACCTTCTTTCACATACTATTTTGAACCAGGTGCCCCATTTTGTGTGGGGTTTTAAAGGAGTGCAGTGGCATGCATTTTAGAATGTTCTTTAAAAGCAGAGTGGAGCTAAGCTTGCTTCCCAGTAGACCTGGTTAGGGAATCAAGTGGCAGGCTATCAGCTGGGCGGCAGAACGGAACAGACAACCTGATCTAGTCAGTCTCACAACCAAGCTACAAAACCCTGCCAGCTTCATTTCCCCTGCTGCTTTTTTCCCCTCTTAGGAGGAGCGCATTGTGCTGAACATGTTTAGTTGGGCTAAATGTGCCCTCTGATCAGATTTGCTGTGCAGAACATGAAATGGTTTTGAAACAGGAAATGCATAGCAGGTGATAGAGGAACCCCCCTGCCCCCCGGTTGCACACTTTCCTATCGCTGCCTTCAAAGAAGCTGAACTGCTGCCCTCCCTGATGGATTTTCTACTGTAAGCGAAAAGACAGAAGAAGTGATGGGAAAACACCGGAGGATGAGACCTGGTTTGGCAACATTTATTAGACTCCCTGGAAATGATGCGAGGGAGTTGTGGCCATTGCGTGCTCAAAGCTTTCACTGGAAGCAGCTGTAGGAGAGAGGTGGCGTGTCTTAGTTCATCCTTGGGATGGACATTGGGAACATTTTCCTGCACAAATCCCAGAACCTCAAGCATACTGGACAGCAGCTTTCCGGATACTCCCAGAGTTCCTGGATGTTGGCCAAGGCTGATGGGAAGTGAAGCCCGAAACGTGGAAGGGAAAGCTGCTGCATCGCGGTGGTTATCCTATTCCGTAGTGTCTCCCGTGTTGGCCGACAACAAACTTTGAAAAAAAGTAACCAGAGGAAAACCTCCAGAGAGGCACTGTGTGAATCTCTTGCAGCCAAAACAGCAGGGATTTCGGGGACTGGCAGAATTACTGTGGATAAAGGTTTCCTCAAATTACATAAACCCCATTCAGCACACACGGTCCATCTGAGAAAAAGGGTAGAACGTATGGGCAATCTTCCCCTGACTGCTTTAACGGCTGCATGATCTTTCTGTCAGGGTGGGGGAGGCTTGTTGAGGGCCTGAGAGACCCTTGGCTGCTCAGACTTTACCAGATCACCTGTTCTCAGCCATTCCTTAGCGTATCTTTTAATACATCTGCTAGGGCACTGTGACCACCGACACCCATTACCTCCTCCAGTAGCATTCAGGGTGAATGAAATCCCTGAAACTAAACTCCACTCCTCTCTATCTTATCTAATGTCTATTCTTCGCACATGCATGCACAGGCCAATAGCTGTTAATTGGCTGTATCTACTTTTGGTTTTGTCACAGAATTGCAATCTGAGTGCCACACAAGGAGCTTTTCCTCTCCTGTATTTCTGCTACATAACCTCAAGGTAGGACAGTGGCACAGCAGCGTAGTGCAAATTCACAGGGGAACATAATGGGGTTTTCCACTAGTGCTGCCTTTTTCCTGCTCTAAAACACAACAAAACAAACTGGTGGTTAGACACAGAAGTGAAGCTGGAGGGTTGTGCCATCATCTGATGTGCCTGTAAACAACTGAGAGTAGGGAATGGAATGCACGCAGTCCAGGCCTCATGTGAAAAAGGCCCGGGTTTCTTAAACGCGCTCTCTTTCTCCCCTCCCAGAATCAGACGACAGGGATCTGAACTGTCTGCTGGCCTCCCTAGTGCAAGTTCTTTCAGACCCACACATGAGAACGATATCCGGGTTCCAGAGCCTAGTCCAGAAAGAATGGGTAGCAGCTGGACACCCCTTTCTACAGCGTCTCAACCCACTCCAGAAAAATGACCGGGATGAGGTGAGTCAGCTGCTGGGTAAGCCAGGAAGAAATAATCCCTGCAGCCTTTTCAAGCAAGCTGAAAAGCTTCGGAAAGAACCAGAGACGGCGGGTGCATCGCTTCTTTTCCTATTATGAGTGTGGTCCTGATATCCAGCATTAAGTGCCCTTAAAATGCTCCCTCTTTTGCTGGCAAATTTGACCCCCTGAAATGGAGGCGGGAGGGGGTAGGGGGACATGGCTTCCTTGTTAATTTCAGCACAAGCGGGAGCACTCCAGGGCTTTGCATCTCTTACTTTTGCTTCCTTTCTTTCAGTCGCCAGTGTTTCTGCTCTTTCTGGATTGCATCTGGCAATTGCTCCAGCAGTTCCCACAATCCTTTGAGTTTACAGAGGCCTACCTGGTGGCTCTGCATGATAGCACCTATGTACCATTTTCCAGCACCTTCCTGTTCAACTGCCAGTGGGAAAGAGGTCGAAAGAACCAGGTAGGTGAGCCCAGCCTGAAGGGTGTGCAAAATGGCCTTGTGCTGCTGCTGCAGCAGCTTTTGTCACCAACTTCTGCAGCCTCCGGCATGTTAAGAGCATAAGAATATCAGAAGAGCCCTGCTGGATCAGACCAGGCCCACCTGGTCCAGCGTCCGTTTTACGTGATGGCGAACCAGCCTCCACGGGACTCCATAGGCAGGGTATGAGTGCAAATGGGGAAAGGGAGGGAAAGGATCGATCCTACAAGGATGCAGGCTAGTATGGTTCCTTGGACGTCAGGAGCTCAAGGAAGGGAGGAGCAGAGCCTCAGTTCATTCTGTCTCTCACCCTCACCCTGCATCTCTTCCCAGCTCCAGAACCGTTTCCTCAATCAACTCTACACTCCCATAAATGGCTGGCGAGAAACCATCTGCCTAGAAATCCTGCAGAACGGCGTCTATCCTGTCCAGGATGTGGAAGGTGCACACTTGCCCACCACCTGGGAGTGGCCCCTGAGATACACCCCCCGCCAGCGGGCACAGTTCTGCAACCCCTGCCACAGTGGGGGCAGCAGAGGTGCTCTGAATGGGAACTTCCTAACCGCCAATAGTGACAAGGTGTGTGTGGAAAAGCACGAGTGCCATTACATGACGTGGCTCATCAGACAGAAGGCGAGAGAAAACCCGCGTATTTGTAACCCTCTCCATGCTCTCCAGGCAGCCGTGGGTTCTCCTACTCGGCCTTGTCTCTGTCCTTCATTAGAAACTGCTGTGTTCCACTTCCAGGTTGGACCCGTGGCCTGCCTAGCTCAGGGTGGGCAGCACCAGCGGCACCTGCAGCATGAGGACCAAGTTCCCCTTTGGAGCAGCTCTTGGGGGGCAGCTGCAGTGGTGGGCATGACCAGAGGTAGAAGGCACAGGGCCTGAAGGAGCAACATGCAGTGCGCGAAAGCACATGCTGCCAGTAGCCAAGCACAGGGAGCTGCCTGCCTTCCAGCCCAGGACTGCCACACTGACTGGCAGCAGGAGCTCTCCAGAGTTCCAGGCAGGAGGGTTTCTGGAGAAGGTGCTGGCTGCCAGGGTGTGAACAGCAGACCTCTGCATGCAGAGCAGAACCCTGCTGCTCCCCACCCTTTTAGAATGAGGAGAGACCACACACAGGCAGGAAGCCCCCAAGGGTCGGAAAGGGAGGGGGCGAAGTCGTCTGGCCCCTTGGCCCCTGGCCTGATGCTTTACAGCCATGGCCTACAAGGAATGGCAGCAGCTTTCCAGAGGGGAGTCTTCCACACCTGCTGCAGGTGCCAGGGTTTGAGCCTTCTGCTGTGGCCCATTCCCACACCCCCCCTTGCCTGCTTGCTCCATGGAATTCCTGGAGCCTAAAGCAAACACAGGGGGCTAAGGAAGACGAGGTGGGCAAGAGGCTGTGGAGGTCCTGGCCAGGAATCGTGGCTTCTCTCTCGCCACATGGGGAGGTGTATGGATGTACAGATGTTCTCTAGGGACTGTCCTAAGAATGCTTTTGTTATCCAGACCTGAATCTGGTCGACTGATTTGTGACTCATTCACTTCTTTTGTTCATGTTGACTTTTCTGAGTTTTCCCTTCTTTCTTTCCAGATGGAAAAGACTCCTTTAGGGAAATGCAGCTTGTTCGTGTTCGCCAAGGGTTCCCTCACCTTGCAAACACATTATTTTCCTTGGAAAAATGGCTCCCTTTCCAAGAAGGGCTGCTGGTGGGCTCAGCCGTCTGAGGGTCCTGCAGAGCAAGAAAAGCCTTTGGCCAGAAAATCCAGTGATTGCCTTCTCTATTACAAGGGATTGCTACTTCTCCCATCACACGCAGGGCCCTTGATCAGCCTCTGGAAAAGGTGCTACCTTCGTGGGGATCCAGAAGTTCAGGTAAAAACAAACAGAGCAGTTGTAAAAAGTCATTTGGAAAATGGGGGAAGATCTCGGAGTTGGATTTTGGATAAAGAATTGAATTCACTTTTGAAAAATGGTGTTCAGTGTCTCACTTGGCCAGGTTCAAAGCATCCCACAGTGGAGGGACTGAATGCGCAGAGCTTGTGTTAATTCTCAAACATTCCATCCTAACATCGATCCCATTAACTGCAAGTACGGCCTCAAAAAGCACTGCAGTGCATAAAGACCTGTGAGAGTTTTGCAGTATGTAAAGGACGGACAGATTCATGGTAGAGAAACATTTCTGAGCTAGGACCTCAGGGAATAATTTGGGGTGGGATTATTAACAATGGTGAGGCCAAAATACAAGAGGCACAATTTGTGACTGCCTAGCACTGTGGCTCTGTAGAGTTTGTAGTGTTCACAGTGTTTTTGGAACCTTTCCTTTAACGTGATGCAACGGCTTACAGCAATATCCATCAGGGCATCTTGTCTCTTGGAGCAATTTCTATGGCCACCCAAGTCGTAACTCTTTGGAAAGTGATCTTTGCGGTGAATACAAGGGGCATGGTTTCTCAGGGAAGAGTTACAGACGGGTGGTCCCCATATGCGGTGCTCCCCCAACAAAACATCTAGCAGACCAGGGGTCAGAGGTAGCCAAATCTGAAGCCTTTAATTATATTGCCAAATTTCAAATCAACTTTTTATCCCAGATTTTCACCCAAAGGGAGGGAAAGGCATTATTTCGTGTTGTAAGAATACAGAGATGGACCACAAAAAGTGCTGCCCACACCCGTGTCTTGGATTTTGTATGTAATACGCTGTATGTGTAAATCCACATGCTGTATCTATGGCCATCATCATGTGTGCCACAAAGATGAAGGCATGATAGTTAAGAACTGCCCAGAGAGCTTCAGCTATTGGGCGTACGAAAAAAACACACAAACCAATTCTGTTAGGGTACCTGTCAGAACATTTGAAAGGAAGGTGACCTCCTGCTGCAAAATGAATATCTGAGCCCTGGACCACTTGCAAAAGAGTAGACTCCCCTCCAAGAGTAGAGAACACAGCTGGGTGCTACTTCAGCAGACCCCTTTCAAGTCCTGACTGGAAATGTTACAAGCGCATTTGGACATTTCTACAGCTGTGGTGGAACCAAGGACCTTTGAAAAGCTGTTTTTGTTCTGTGTTGTCATCTCCAGCTTAGGGCAAGCCTATGAATGAAGGCCCCCCCAAAGGGTCCTAGCCGTGACAGCCCCATTCAGCTCTTGTCAGCTCAAGGCTGTGCCTTCCTTTACACCAGGGGTCCTCAAACTTTTTCTAAAGGGGGCCAGTTGACAGGTGCCAGCGGTGGGTGTGGGCCGCCAAGGCGGTGCTGGGGGGCGAGCAGTGAGGGGGCGGGGGGCTCACACATGTGAGGCGGGGACGGGGGGGGCATGCGGGGCGAGGCGCCGGCTTGCTTGCGAGGAGATCGTTTTCTCCGAGCTAGTCCAGAATGACCTCCTTGCGAGCAGGCCATACACCCCAACAAATGCCCGGCGAGTGCAAAACCTGTGGGGCAGGCCAGTTAAATGGGCATGGTGGGCCGGATCCGGCCCATGGGCCTTAGTTTGAGGACCCCTGCTTTACAGAGTACATGCTTTTAAGTGTCCGTGTTGTCACTTGCTATTACCTTCTCTGAGCCTTCGGTGACAGGGTTATAATCGAAATAAAAAGGCTCAAGACAGTGTGCGGTCAGTGGAGAAATCGCAAGAACTGTGTCAACAGCACAGATGGGTCACTTTCAGCCCTGAATGAATTACCTCTCTGGGGAAAGAAAACTGCTTACAATCATCCAGTGGCTAAGCATTTTAAAGTCAAACTGAAACAGCATTTAAGATCATGTGCCAAATTAAGCACAATGTCAGAAATAATATTTTCATTACCAAATTGACCTTCATTACTCTGACACCAATTCCTGTGCATGTTGCCTCAGAAATAAACCACCCTGATCAAGTTTATTTATATTTTTACCGTGCTTCTCAACCCAAAAAAGGATTCCTAGAGCCATATACTGAGGTTCATAATGAAAGTGTCCTGCCCTTGGGACTGAAGCCTAAAAGGGATTGGAAGTGAGGAGGGTGTCTTGGGCACCCACTGTTACTTCCTATGGGAACTTTCAGACTAGGAGCTCCCTGCTGGCAGCTGCTCCTCTGTGGCCAGTCATGGGGCCACGATGTTCTTCTCGGGAGGCAGGAAGTGCAGCTTCTTCGCAGCCCTTGCCTGCAATCCAGGGAACTGTCAAGAGCAGCCGTGTGCTCTTTTGGCAGCCAAGGATGCAGTCCCCTCCATCATGGCAGCATGCCTGATCACTTTTCACTCTGCAGCTTGTTTAGCCTGGGCCTGTGGCATATTTTTGCTTGAAGAAAGGCACGCAAAGGAAGTAAGTTGCCAGCAAACTGAATTATATCTGAATTATATCTGTATCTTATTGTGGGACAGACAGACCAGAGGCTCAGATGTGCATATCATCTAAGCCAGGCCCAGATGTCTGGCCTGTTTAGCTGTGTGTGCTTGCAGTGAAAGTGACTCGGTGTTCTTGGTATGCTGTGGAGGAACCCTGGCTTATCACAGAGTGTGAACTCTCCCTCTTGTTTCCAAGCAAGCATGCCAGTAAACTTGGTAGGCTGTGCTTCCAAGGAAAGGATTGGGCTGCTAGCCCTGCTGTGTGAACTGTGATTCAGACTTCTATCATCAGTTGTGGAAACAATGAGGGAAAATGAAAAGCAAGATGAGTTCCTGCCTCAGAAGCTGATGATTGGAAACAGATTTTTCACAGCTAGGTCTCCAGAGGCCAAAACATGCCACATCTGTTAGGTAACTACTGTACTGGTGCCTCTTTCTAATTCATTAAAGTAGGAAACAACAGTTATTGGAAACATGATCTGAAGCAAAGTTCTGCAAGTGGGAATAGGAATAAGGCCCCTGGGAAACAGTTTATCTTGCTAATGAATTTTGACGGCCAGAGCTGGTGTGGCCCAGAGACCCTGGGAACACAGCCAACAAGCATGCCTCACGCCAGGCACACTTAATTATTGCTTCTTAAAATGGCTGTGCCTTTTACTCTGTAGGGGCTGGGTGAGATTTCTGCCTCAGATAGTCCAGTGCAGCAGTGTAGAGATTTCTGCCTCAGATAGTCCAGTGCAGGCCAAAGGTCTGTCTAGTAGAGTAACTGGCTTCCTACGGTAGCCAATCACTTGCTTCCAGTAGGTCCACAAGGAGGGCAAGAGTGCAAAAGCCCCCTCCCTGTTGGCCATTCCCAGCAACGGCTACTAAGAGATGTGCTGCCTGCACATGGAAGCACCTTTTGGTAGCTGTTCATTCCAGTAATCTTTATCCTGCTCCCTTTATATCCTAGAGAGACTTATGATCTAGCAGTAAAACGAGAAAGCCCCTGCCCACATGCTTACAATATAAAGGCAAAACACACAAGAAAAATGGTTGGGGAGGAAAGAAAAAATTGCACAGCCTTTCAGCAGGGTTAGTGGCAGGGCCCTGCTTTCCCTCTAACCTCCTGGAAGCCTGTCCAACCCAGGGAGACCCTCCTGTTCCATTTACCTGCTCCTGTCTCCCCATGCCTTCCTGAGATAGTAAGTTTGATGAGTTAATAACGCCTTAATAACTAATGAAACGTCATGCGCCTCCTGCTGTGTTTAAACACACAGGGTTCTTAGAAACTTGCATGTCTGCGTTGATAGGGTGGCCAAATGCGAAAGAGGGCAAAATCTGGCATCCTACTGCAGAAGAATGAATGCAAGCTAAAATTTCCTCTTCTGCTGCAGGAACCTTGTCCTCTTTTGTTTCTGACCACCACTGACCAAAGGAGTTCAGAGTTCTTCTGATGCAGAATATACCAGCAGCAATGGAATCCTAAAAATTCAAGATTACATATCTGTGCATATATAATGTATTGTATTATGTCTCCTTGCAGATTTCCTATCTTTGCCTATTCCCAGTGGTACAATTTTAGCTTCCTGTTGCAGAATTGGGGATTAAATAATAATTTCCAGAGCTGTGATTTATCTTTACCTCCTAGCTGTTGGGAATGCATTTGTGTATATGTATCGGATGCTGTTTAAGATGTTTAAGAATGAGCTTGTAAGAAGATAAAGAGCCTGAATTTGAGGAGGCTGTTCTGACTCCAGCTTCTTTTGCTTTAGATTGGTCTCTTTGCCTCCAGTGTTGGTGGCCTCTCAGAGGAACTGGAGATTCTTCAAGAGCAAATGAGCCATTGGGAAGTGAGGAGCTCACAGCACAGCTCTTGAGAATGTAAATGTGCTCCAATAAGAGCTGGTGAAGAATCACGGAGCTCCCTTTGCTGTTCCGTTGACAACAAGGCTGGTGCCTTTGGAGCGTTCGTCACAGAACCTGGACAGACGGATGGTACTCCTCTGTGAGGCAACAATCACATTAAGCCAGGTTTTGTAAATGGCTTAAATGGGATCCTTCACACATTCGCAGAGAATCCTTTCTGAAGCTCAGAGCCAGCAGGGAGAACATGGGGTCTTTATGTTCCAGGAAAGACAACGGTCATGGGGACCTGACACATAGAAACAGCTTGTTCTGAGGCCTTCAAGCTCAGCACTGGATCATAGAGACCGAGTCCTGTATTTCTTATCCTGGCAGGGTTTATATTCATCATGAACGTGCTGTCTTGATCAGAGAATATGTCAGGGCCCTTTTGGAGGCACCAAATAGCACAGGGATGGACCTGTGCGCTGTTTCCCTTTTTTCATTCCCCCCCACACTACCCACCCATGTGGTCCACCACTAAGTATTGCATTTATAAACCAGAATGCATAGTCTGGAGTGTGTAGTACTTAATGCGACCTCCCCCAACCTAGCGTCCTCCAGATGGATTGGACAAGACCTCCCATCAGCCCCAGCCAGAATGGCCACTGGTCAGGGACAACAGGAAGTGCCCGTCAGAACAGCTGGAAGAGTCCAGGCTGAGGAAGACGTAAAGCAGAACCCGTCAGCACTGGGTGCAACTTGTTCTTGGGGAATGTGAGCAGTACCTTGCCAGATCAGATTAACATGCCACTATTCCAGCTTTCGTTCCCAGAATCCTGGCAGCCCAGAAGTGATCGACTGTCCTCCAGCACTGGGTGCCGGTCCAAAGTCCGCTCCTGGCTCCTGCAGCAGCCTTGTGCTGCGTTGCATCATCTTCCACGGTCTCTTAATGAAACAGCAGTATTCACCCCACTCCTCTTTGGAGAACAGACTCTCTGCGTCACTCCTTGTTCTCCCCGTTTTATGGCTAGTGTCAGGGGTTGCCTGATGCATTAGGCTGCGAATCCCTCAGGAGCTTTCACATCTATGGTTGAATTGAGTCCAACTGCTGGTAGCCCTACCTTGAGGCAGCTTGAGTTTATAAATAGCTTGGGTTCATAGCCATCTTCACATGCAAATGAGCTACACCGTGTGGGCTGTTCATGGGACACCCCATGGTAGGCTCAGCAGACAATCAGGCTGGCGGTGCAGTGTCTCCCCCTGATGCCTCCTCAGCCCTCCAGACAGCGTTGGCCTGTACCTCAGCGTCCTTCACTGCAGGACATCTCTTGTCTCCACCTCTCCACTCCGATCACTGCAGCTTTTCGTAATTGCCATTTTTTGCTTTTGGACTTTGGGCTTGGTTGTTGGATCCTCAAAAATGAACAATTCAGAACTTTAAAAAAGCCTAGAAAATTTCCTACCTGTCTTGGCCTTTCGCAAGTGTGCTTCAATGGGTGTCTGTTATATGTAATCCTGAAACTCCTCGTCAGTTTCAGCTGTCAAAGGGAACAGCAAAGTGGAGTAGGTAACATAAATAGAAATTGACAATGCATGACTTTTTATAGGCTAATTTGTACGGAGAAGCCAGGAACTAATTGTAGACAGAAGGGAAGGTTACATGTATCAGACAGCCATAAGAAAGCACTTAAGTATTTGCAAGAGAGAAAACAACAATAATGTATTACAAATGCATTTGCCAAGTTTTGGGGTTGGATTTTCTAAGAGAACCATGGCAAATCAGTGATGGTTAATGCAAGTGCTGTTTGGGCATTGGTAGGGGAGCAGTTACCGGGAGCTGCCCAGCTCAGATTGCAACAGGAGGCAGCATTCTTTGCTACTCTTGCTGAATGGTTCACTAGCTGATCCTCATGACTGATGATGAAATTGCTTTCATGGGTTCAGATGACACTACAACCTAGAACAAGTTATGGGCTGTCAGGGCGGCTCATTTCTGAAAAAAGAAATCACCCTGCAGGAAGCAGTCAAGCTGTGGAAGACATGGCAGTCCACCGTGGCTAGTTAACCATGTTAACTAGGTAACTGTGTGGCTAGTATTACGTGAACCCAAGCAGCACTTCAGATTTAGACTAGAATGTCTTCAAAGATTAGACAGATTAGAAAAAATATGGAATTCTTCCAAGATTGCCCTACAGGCAGATTTTCAGCCTAGGTAAGCAATAAGGAAAACCTGTCTCAAAGGTCTTTGTGGTAATCTGCAGAAGGATAGAGAACTGTTTTTTAACTTGGAATGTGCTTCCTAACTGCTAATGAGATTGGTGTGACCAATTCCAGTGCACTTGTAGCCACTTCTGAAATGCGCCACCAGTGCAGAGTTAAATGTATGTTTGTGCTAGGGTGGAGAGTGGAAGTACCAAAGGGAGATCCAGTTCTTGTTGTACCAGCTACTGTTCACTGTTTTGTTTGTTTGTTTTTTGGTATCTTGGCGCAGTTCAACATGGAACAGCTTTCACATAACAAAGGAGTTATGGCCAAGAGCCTAAAGAATGGGTGGACCGTTCCATCAAAAACACCACCTGCCGCTTACTATTACTGCCCTGATTAAGAAGTGGTATAAAAGTGAGAGCTTTTCCCCATTTATTAGCCAGGAATCTTGCCTTGTGGTTAAATGAGGGAGAGAATAGCTTACACGTTCCAACTAGTTAATGCTCTCCAGACAGAAATGCTAATTTCTGTCGCATATACTGTTTGAAAACAGAAGACGGTGCTGTTGCACACACATGTATTGGCCAGCATTCTGCTCAAGCACATCTCCAGTAGCGCACTTAAAACCTCAGCTGATGAAACTGGCACTCAAGTAAAGGCTTCGCTGAGGCTTGTTGAAATGACACTAGGCACTTTACTTCATTTTGCCTATAATAGGCTATCTGTATCTTCATGAAAGGTATTGTCGAATTGCATTCAATGTCGGTCATGCATTCCGTGTATATCAGTCATTAAGGCTGCACCCTCTGGCACATAAGTTGCCTGGGTACATAAAAAATTGATGCTGCTAGCTCGAAATTTAATATACCCCCCACTCCATCTCTGTATATCATGTTTGCACAGTTTGTTATTATATCCCATTGGTATGTCTTGAGTGCCTACCGTATGTATTTTTCTAACAGGTGGAAATCGGTAGTGGAAACGTATTTCCATGTATGCATATAGTCTTATGAAGACAAGGGTTGATGCTGCTGTTATATATTTGCTGTTAATTTGCTGTTACATATTTGCTTATTTTATTTTATAAGCTTTTGTTCAGAAGCCTTAATAGAAATCAGGAAATGAGAATTATTAAGTTAAATATATTTGGGTTTTTGTTTGTTTGTTTGTTTTAAACCTTGTGACTATATTACACCCAGTCACCTGCCTGTGGCAACTGGCATTTAGCAATATGGGCAGGTGGACTTGGGGTATCTGCAGCCTCATTTTCAGGGCTGCCGTACACTAAATACGAAATGCAGGCCTGTTCAGGGGGGTGTTAAATTATGTGTGTCTCATCATGTCGGCCTGAATCACCTCCTGCTTCTTAAGAAGTAGCTGAAGATAACACTTTGCAGAAACAGAGCAGCTGCTGAGCAGGCTGCGTTCTCAGTGTATTTCCCCTTCCTTCTGAGCATATTTAAGGTGATATCGCACCCCAGTTTTTCAGATGTTCTGAGTCCTGTTAGTATTCTTTAGAACATCTTTACACGTACAGTATAATTTGAGGACTGACTGAGTTACAGAGTTGGCAACTTGCCCTGTCTGATTTGCAAACTGCAACCCACTGATGCAATCCAATCTCGTGCAGGTTTCCCTGGAAGTAAGTCTAAATGTGTTCAGTGATGTTTACTCCCAGGTAAGTATGCGCAAGGTGGCTGCTGTAATTTTATACTCTGTATGCCTGAATGCATTTCGTATGTTTGTGCTGAACCAGTCAGCACATGTATGACTGTGCCAGTTAAAGGGCACAGAAAGGGGCACATGTATGACTGTGCCCCTTTCTTTCGCCAGTTAAAAAAATAAAGACACAACCTGGATGAAAAAGAAAAAGTGACACTGTTGTAACCTACCATGATTCACCAGATGAAGTACAACTTCTTAAGCCTCCCTTTATCTGTTGAATTGCTTTCACAGGGCTTCCTTTCGTTATTTCTGCTTTTACATTATACCATTCACACAAGCAGAGTACTCTACCTGGAAAAAAAGAGAAATTTTATAATCTTGCTGAAGGTTGCTTCAACAGAAGCAATTGTGGGTGGTTGGGGGGATAATGATAACCCGGTAGCATGAATTACACAAGAAACGAAAGTATCAAGGGTGTTTTCCCCACACACTCCGTGTATATTTTTATAGCAATGTTTCTGTTTAAGGTGGTATTAAAACTTCACTATTTATAAACCTAAACACTCTCAGTGTGAATCATATGATCGCTGCTTAGCTCTCCCAAATCATCTTGCCTTCAAGAGTAGAGTTTCTGGGGGAAAAAGGCAAGTCTAATTCTGCATTACGTTGCGTGTACAGGATCTAGTCCCTTAGCGGCACTGTAGTGTTTCAGGGGGCTCCATCTTTTTTGAGTCGGTGGGCACATTTGGCATTGCGAGGGTATGTCATGGCTGCCACGGGGCCATTCCCAACTAGCTACCAGGATGACTGGTTCAGCACAAGGCGCACACGTCCCAGAAGACAAAACAAGAAATCGCTGCCCTCGTAGCTTGGGTAGGCCCCGAGTCCCAAAATTCAAAACCTGATGAAGATGGTGCTGAAGGACAGCATTCGACATGCCAGCCGCCCAGTTTTTTTAAATGTTGCTCTAAAAATACTTAGCAAATAGCATAATAAGCATGCATGTAAAGATGGGAAAAAGTCCTGCAGCCCCTCATGCACTCAGTCACCATAGCCAGGAATTGTAGGATGGCTTCTGTATAGGACCGGTGGCACCTGAAGCCACACTAGTTTTAGTGTTATGCTTGTTATCAAAAATTATTACTATCATTCTTTGCAAAACTTGTCCCAGTCCCACCTATTGGAACAAGCACCTGCTAGCTGAAGAAGGGGCCCTGTACATGTTCAAAGGCACTCCCTCATTTGTTCCAAGCCCAATGCCTTGAAAAAGCCCCGTGGACTCTTCCTTGGGATCCCTACGTCAGCTCAGCCGGTTGCAGTTAGGGACGAAAGTTGCTATTCTGCACATGCTCAGAGGCACCGAAAGCGGGCTGCTATGCTGCATGGACTTGGAGGAGCTGGGCAGACTCCTCATATTGTAATGGTTACAATTATACAGCCATAATGATATTTTAGTTTTTTTAACGTATTTTGCTTGTCACTTCAGGAATTCAAGGGGGAGAGGACGCGCGCGCGCAAGTATCCAACGCGCCGGGGTGGAAAAAGGCGGGAAGATGGTAGGGGCGGAAGGGGGCGTGGCGCTGCGCTCGTGCTGATTGGTCCGCCTAGTTCCTCCGTCTGAGCGGTCAGGACCGGGACCGGAAGTGACGCAAAACATGAGGCTTCGTTTCGACCTTTTCCTGTGTCTGAAATACAACATCGATAACAGCGACTTGGCGCGCAGTGTTCCGCCAGGAGTCAAGATGGCTGAAGGAGAGCCGCCTTACCTCACACACGTAACAACCGCTCCAGAGCGGAAGTGGGCTGAGGGAGGTCATCGTGGCTGCGGAAGGGAAGCGCCTGCCTCGAGATGGCTGCCGGGCCGATCTCCGAGAGGAACCAAGGTAACGGGGGCTGCCAGTGGGACGCGCGGGGAGGGCTGCGCCGCCGCGTGTGCGGGCGGGCGTGCGGGGGCGAGACTGCTCCCACTGCAGCCTCCCTCCCTCCCTCCCTCCCTCCCTGTGGAGGGGGAATCGTGGACGGGGCCGTCGGGCTCCTTGTGGGGACGGGGCGCCTCCATTTTGGAAGAGGGGTCCAAAGCGACGCTGTTTCTTGGTGAGGGCGGGCTGGTGCCTTCCTCCTGAGGGGAGGAGAGGAGTCCGCAGTTCCCCACCCCAGAGGAGGACGTATATTCCTGTTAACAAATCCCCAAGGGGCCACTGTATGCGTATTATATATGCATCGAGGGCACGAACCCATGCCTGTTCAGGCAGCATAGAAGGCCTTCAGCTCCCAGCATCTCCCAGACGCAAGGACTGGCCGAGGAATACTGGGAGTTGTAGGACTTTTTTTCCTATCGTAACACGCAAGGGATCCTCTATTATATACGTTTTTAAAACGCTATGAAAAAGGGTTCAGTTAAAGTAACGGTACAAGTGTATTCAAAATACATTTTCGCAACCTTCTGAATCTAGTTCGACAATAAGTAACGTGTATGGTGCTTTACTTTCATTGTGGGTGCATTTTGGAGCAGCTCCTGTCCCAAGGGGCTGTTGTCTAGAACGGTTTGGTGGAAGACTGCTGGCCCAACAGCAGCCCAAACATGCTGCAGTTCGACACAAGGTCACCATAAGGTTTCTAGGGTGCTCCTGCCCACCTGCACCCCCCCCCCGATGTGTTGGAGTACAGATCCTATCATCCCTAGCCATCAAGTCTCTGCTTTTTGAGGATGACGGCCCACACATCTGGAGAGTAGCAGATTGAGAAAAGATTATTTGGAAGTTTTAAACCGTTTTTCTCTTAAAAATAACATTGTTCATATAAGTGTATGTGTGGAATGTTCTGTAAGTCCTTCTCATCTACCTGCTATAAACAAGTGTAGTCCTTAACGATGCTTACATGCCCTACTCCTCTATCTTAAGTGTGCAGGGTAACTAAAGAATAGACCAGTAAAATACAGCAGCTCTTGCAAAGATTAAACATGGATTGCTCTCTGTCTGTATGACCAAGCAGGGATTTTTTTGTCTCTGTTGCAGATGCCACCGTGTATGTTGGAGGTCTGGACGAAAAGGTCAGCGAACCTCTCCTGTGGGAGCTCTTCCTCCAGGCAGGCCCGGTTGTTAACACTCACATGCCCAAAGACAGAGTCACTGGCCAGCATCAAGGTATGTGATGAAAATGCCCTGAGTACTGAATAGAACCAGCTTGTCCCTTTAAAGGGAGTTCGTGTGCGTTGGATGTCTGTCCTAGTATATCTTACTTCTGGGCTGATGGTGGATGTGGCTTTTGCTCATGAGACTGCGAGTAAAGTGCAATTCAGCTTGCTTTTCTGTGTCTTCATCCACATGTCATTTTCAAGTAGAATGAAAATTGCTTTGGCTGGGCAATAATTCCCGTAGACCGAGGCCGTTAAAAGTTACACAAATCCTCCTAAATTCATTTGGTTGCTTATTTGGGGCCCTTGAAATCTTTATCCTAGGGCAGCTTGCAATGCATATTAAACAAAAGAAGTCCAGGAGATGCAAACAGGCAGCTATGCCTTGCGTCCCATTTTCAGTAGCTATTATGGTCATCTCCTTTTAGGCTATGGATTTGTGGAGTTCCTCAGCGAGGAGGATGCCGACTATGCCATCAAAATCATGAACATGATCAAGCTCTACGGGAAGCCGATCCGGGTCAACAAGGCCTCAGCCCACAACAAGAACCTGGATGTGGGTGCCAACATCTTTATTGGCAACCTGGACCCCGAGATTGACGAGAAGCTGCTGTACGATACGTTCAGCGCCTTTGGGGTCATCCTGCAGACCCCCAAAATCATGCGTGACCCTGACACCGGCAACTCCAAGGGATACGCCTTCATCAACTTTGCCAGCTTTGATGCATCCGATGCTGCGATCGAGGCCATGAACGGACAGTACCTGTGCAACCGCCCCATCACCGTCTCCTACGCCTTCAAGAAGGATTCCAAGGGCGAGAGGCACGGCTCGGCTGCGGAGCGCCTCTTGGCTGCACAGAACCCCCTCTCACAGGCCGACCGGCCTCATCAGCTCTTTGCAGACGCTCCTCCTCCACCTTCAGTGCCCACTCCAGTTGTTACAACCTTGGGGCCAGGAGTTACCCCGCCAGGTATGCAGAGGTGTTTTGTGTGTGTTGCGGGGTGGGGATGGTAGTTTCAAACTCCTGCATAATATGTTCTTCCTTTCAATTTGCACTATCTCCACCCCAAACATCCTCTTCCTTTTCTGCTCGAAACAGTAAAGTAGCCCGGCTACTCAAGTTAAAATTAATACAGAGGAAGGCAGGACGCGCCCCAACGGAGCCAAGCTCAGGGAGCCCAGGTTCCATCTGGATGCCAGGAAGCACTTCCTGACAGTCAGGACCCCGAGGGTGTGGAATGGGCTTCCACGAGAGGTCGTTGAGGCTCCATCGGTGTGGGTGTTCAAGGATGGACTGGACTTGCACATGGTGGGCATGTCGTGAGCGGAGCCGGCTGGTGCCAGTCAGACTAGATGGCCCGGGAGGCCCCTTCTGACTCGCTCTGTTTCTATGTTTCTAATACCATTGATGCTTTATCTGGCCCTTTCCTTCCTACATGTCTCACTAGAATACAGGCTTGAACCAGGTGAAGAACCAGTTAAGGCTTCATTTGCAAGGGGGGGGAGGTCAGTCTTGTTGAATGAAGTTGAGGGTTTAATGGGGTACTTTTTCTTTCGGCTGTGGTGTGTTGCTGCAGTGTGTGTGTGGGTAGAGAGAGAGAGAGAGAGAAATGGCAAAGGGGAGCCTCGCTTTCCAATGGTGAGTGGTGGTTTTGTGGATCGTGTTGCGCTTGCCTTGTCCTTTCTTCCGGATCCTTCAATTTTCTGCCTTTTCTGTGACAGGCATCCCCCCGCCAGGATCGTTCCCGCCACCAGTCCCACCGCCAGGAGCCATGCCCCCGGGGATGCCTCCAGCGATGCCTCCGCCACCCATGCCGCCAGGTGCTGGGGCTCCAGGACCCCCTTCGGGAGGGGCTCCTGGTGCGGCACACCCTCCTCACCCACACCCTTTCCCACCCAGCGGGATGCATCCAGGTAGGTGTCGTGCTGGGGGCATCTTCTCTCTCTCCTCCCTGGCAGAAGGTCGCTGCCCCTTCCATGGCCTCCCCTTGTCAGGGGAGCCTGCCTGTGCTTGGCCAGGTCTTTCCTTGCTCCCCACGTGGGGGCTACTGGGGGCAGCTGGAGGAGGCGGCAGGCTGCAGGGAACTGTGAATGCCAGCTTTGCTGTGGGTGCTGGACCAGCATAGAGCAAGTCGGCCCCCTGATTCTGGCTAAGATTTGCAGGAATGCAGTGGGATGGGGTTGGGTGGACTCCGAGGGATGGTGGGCAGGAGAGCCTGGAGGAATGTCGCCCATGGGGTTGCGAAGGGTCGGACGTGACTTAACGACTGAGCAAAAAGGGTGGGGGGACACGGGGGGAGGGTCTGGAGTATAGCTGGGTGTGTGCATGGCACCTTCCGTGCCATCAGGGGCTACCACAGACTCTGCCAAAGCCGCCTGATTGTTCCGTCTTTCCAGGAATGCCGCAAATGCAGGTCCATCATGGCATGCCTGGCATGGGTCCGCATCACCCAGGGCCACCGGGAGCAGGGGGCCAGCCGCCCCCCCGCCCTCCTCCGGGCATGCCCCACCCTGGGCCGCCACCCATGGGCATGCCTCCCCGGGGGCCCCACTTCGGCTCACCGATGGGTAAGTAAATTTCTGAATTCCGTTTCTGTTTCAGTTCTGTAGCACCAGGGAGGCATGGGGGAGAGTGGCAAAAGTTTTTGGCTGGGCCAGTTTCCTCCTGATGCCTGCATATACCTTGGTGTGAATTTCTTTGATAGACTTGTTTATACTGAAATAACCCCCAAACGATTCCAATTTTAACATTTGCTTCTGGCGGGTTATAGCCTGCCAGTCAGTTTGCCCCCACCCTGGTCTCCCCAATGCGCATCATCCCTAAGCAGCATGATAAGGGATAATGGGAACTGAAACACCTGTGAGTGGATTCGGAAGTTACTCAAAGCTGTGGATTCAGTGCCACAGCCGATGTGTGTGTCTGAGAGAAAATACCTTTGTGGCTGAGGGCTTCCTCCCTCCCTGCCTCGCTAAATTCGCAGTGTTCCAGTTCTTTCTCCAGCCACCGCCCACGTGAGGAGTGCGTGCACAGTCATTGAAAAGTTCCTCGAAAGCCAGAGTTTGCAGAGTTTTCTCACATGCACTGAGCTTCGGACTACATGTAGGACCCTGGTTTTGAGTGTGCTTTGTGGGCTCTTGAAGCAGTGGATCCTGTCATTTTTGCAAACTTTTCTGGGCTTCCCCCACTGTTTCTGCCCACTGACCTCCCCTCAGGCAGCCTAATTCCAGTGAATCAATACATGTTGGGAAGAAACTGCCTAAGTCTTCGGTATACCTCAAGTTCTTGTAAGACACGTTAGCGAAGAGAAATTCTTTGGGATTTTTCCTTCCCACAAAAGAAGGAACTCTCAAGGAGTGTTCCTAAACTTCCAAAAGAGGGTTTGTCTGATTGTGAAGCTTCCGGGTCTGCCTGTACTTCAGTCTGGCCTTTGGTCCAGAGGAGGAGGAGGGGCGTCTGGGTTTGTCTAACGTGTGCCTCTTAATCTTCCAGGTCACCCTGGTCCCATGCCGCCCCATGGGATGCGAGGGCCTCCGCCCCTGATGCCGCCCCACGGATACAACGGCCCCCCACGGCCACCTCCCTACGGCTACCAGCGAATCCCCCTTCCGCCCCGCCCCGCCCAGAGACCCATGGTGCCTCCGCGGGGGCCCATGCGGGGGCCCCTGCCCCCATAAGCAGCGGCACGTCCCAGGCCAGCTTAAATGCAGAACTTCTGACCATGGACCCCTCCAGGCTGTTCTTTTCTGTTTCTGTTTGGACATACATTCCAGCGAGTCGTGTCTCACTTCCTTGTGTGAAAAGCTCTGCCGGCTCCTGCAGCAGCATCAAGGTTTTGCTCATCTTGATTCTTTTTAAGCTTTCCATTGCCTCTAAAATGGTATTCTGGTCCCACAATTCAGTTTTTAAAATATACCTCTTTGTTAAGCCCAGTTTTGAAATGCAGTTTGCAAATAAAAGTTTGCAGAGATTCTCCTTGGAAGACTTTCTGTGGCGGCTTTCTTTAACAGGGCCTCCTTTTCTGGCATTGGTCTCTTCTGTAGATTTGTGGGGGTCCTGCCTAGCGCCTGTCCATAATGGTCTTGCAGCGCGCTCTCCCAACCTGGAGCCCTCCAGATGCTGGATATGGGTTCCGCTAGCAATGGCAAGGCTGGCTGGGACTGATGGGGGTTGCAGTTAGAAGGCAGCAGAAATGGGAAGGCCAAATCGAGTGTCCCACAAGCTTGGTATTTCTGGTTGGGGTGAGAGTAGCTTTCTGGCTATTTGGGATTTTAAATTTCTTGAAATCGCTGCTTGTTCTGGGAAAGTTACCGTGAAAGCCATTCACCTCTGGAACATAGTGTACAACCTTGCAAAGGTTCTGGATTTCTTTACACGGGGACTTCAGATCCCGTTTCAGAGCTGCACAGCTCAGAACCTGCAACAAGCTCTTCAGGGGCTCTGAAAACTTTGTTCCTGATGACAAGCCGACCTTTTCATGCTCTGGCCCCAAGGCTGGACGTCAGGAAAAGCTTCCTCCCTGTCGGAACAGTGTGACGGTGGGACCAGCTGCCTGGAGAGGTGGGGGGCCCTCCCACACTGGGGACATTCAGAAAGAACCTGGGCAGCCCTCTGAGTGGGGTGGTGTGACCTGGTGTCCTGCAACAGCAGGGGGTGGACCTGATGGCCTTCGTGGCCCCTTCCAGCTCGGCTATTCTGTGATTCTGTGCTCTTGTGAGATCCTGTGCGCTGCTGGCCCTGCCAGATGGGCAGATCCCCTGACACATTGAACAGGTGGGGGCAACTCCCTCCCCGCAGTGCCGGTGGGGGGCTCTGGTTGGGCTCCCTCTCCACCCTTCCCCTGCCCGGTCCCAGCAAACTAGCTCAGAAGAAGGGTCTGGAGAAGAGGAGGAGGAAACGTGCCCCCCCTTCCCTGTCCTCTGCAGTCGCTTCTTTTCCCTCACAGCCCACGGTGCCCTGCGAAAGGCTGTGGCGTCGGGAGGATCAAGAATCTGTAGCAGCGCAAGGATTCCTGTGCCCGCTCCAGGAGGGAGCGTCTGCCCCCACCCCGTGGGGCATGTCCGGATGCCCGGCCTTCAGCTTGGTCCAGCCTGCCCTCCCTGCTCCGCGAGGGCCTTTCGCACCAGCTTCACCTGCCAGGGCTAGTGGCCTGAGGCTTCTCCTGGCAGCAGGTTTGTGAAGAAGTTGGAGCTTTCGTGCACAGGGTGTACCTCTGGCTCTCCCATACCCTTTCCCCTCAACGCCCATCAGGCATTGCGCTGGGCCCCCCGACTCGGAGAAGCGGCCTCCAGTTCTGGTGAGCAGGGCAGCCCTGAGAAGTGTTCCCCGAGCAGCTCCCCACGCCACCTGCCCTGGACACCTGGGCAAAGCCAGCAGACCTGCCTTTGGCACAAGTCTTAATTGACCGGGGGCAGGGGGAGTTCTTATGCAGGTGAATGTTGTACCGGGCCAGTCCTTGCCATTCACTGATGCATATAAAAAAACTAAATTATCAACCTGCTTCACGGACATTCCAAGTGGTTGGTCTCAGTGGATTACCTGTGCCGTTTGGACCACGTCTTGTAAAGAATCCCAGTTTAACCATGGTGCATGAAGGACTTCCTTTTATCCATCCGGAATCTCCTACCGCTCACCTTGACGGCATTAGGACAGAGGGGGAGAGTGCTCATCCATGCCCAAGGCATGCCAAAGCCATAGGCTTCCCCCCAGCCCCCGAGGCCAGCAGGGAGTGGGGTGGTACTGGTCCCGGGGCGGGGGACCCAGCTGCCGTAGGGAACAGCCATGCCTCATGCGCCCCCCAGCCGCTGGCAGAACGGGCCTCTCACCGGGGCAGCATGGAAAGAATTCCTCATCCTTGCACACTGGCCCAGAGGACGCTGAAATGCACAAAACGGAAGTTTCTGCCTCACCTGGCAAAACATTGAGCTTCAGGACTCGGGCCCACGCCTGGCCTGGCCTGGCCTGGCCTGGCCTGCTCCACAGAGGAGAGTTGGGAAGCTCTGGAGGATGCCTGGGGTGGGAATGCTGCTGCCCTTGCCGTGGGGCAGAAAGCTGGCAGCCAGGTGCTTGAGATTTCACTCCGAGTCGATGGTGCGAAATTTGTCATGTGTGTTCACCGGCTCCATGGAAAACGTGCTCAGTGTGATCATGGGAGGGAACTGATAATTAAGCTGGCATTTGAATTTAAAATCTCACACACACACACACACGAACTTCGGAGCATTCAACACCTTCCGCAACAATGCGCAAGGAACGCCTTTAGAGTGAACATAAAAGCCCTTTTTGCTGACTCCTCTCTGAAGCCTCCATTTTGAATAGCAGCTGCCTTTCAGGTCTTTTTCAGACATAATGGATGCCGATTGTTTCCTGTGGGCGCGTGGCAAATGCGCACCTTGCATGCTGCATCCTGCCTCCCTCCAAAGCAACTTTGTCTCTCAAATGGATACGAAGAGCAAAGCAAGATTTTGGCAGTAAGCCTGCTGGCTATCCAGATGCAGAATGGCAAGAAGACGATCCGAGATGAGACTCACAAGCAGAACTTGGAGTAAGAAAGACACAGTCAAGCTCTTTGGGTCCTGAATATTTGTGCTGTTATATTTATTTTATTTATTTATTAAAACATTTTTATGCCGCCCCATTCGCCGAAGCCTCGGGGCGGCTTATACTCTCTGCAGAAGCCTTGAATCTTGCCATGTCTGGAAAATAATCAGATCAGTCCCAGTGCTGGAAATGGTTACTGGAGTCCAGGGTGTGCGCTCGCGCTCGCTCGCTCGCGCTCTCGCTCTCGCGCGCGCTCTCTCTCTCTCTCTCTCTCTCTCTGTGTGTGTGTGTGTGTGTGTAGCAACTTACTGGTAGTGAAAGGAAAAGCCTAATATATTGGAATTTATCAACTTAAACACAACATTTAAAAATGCTAAGTGCATCCCCGTCATAGCACCCTGGCAAATGAGAGCAGCTTTACTTCATCCCAGGTTTCCAGACAATAAATCCTTGGGTATCTCCATAAGCAGGATGGCCAGTAACTTAAAAAAAGCATGGAACCGGGAAGCATTTTTAACACACAAGAACTGAAAATTCAAAACCTGGACCTAGAAAATCCTTGCTTGGGACAGACCTTCTCCTTCTCTGCCCAGTGCCTTAAGTCATTGAACCAGCCCATCGCAAGCATAACTGTGTTTCAATGTATGTTGGTATTTTTAATGGGAATACTTAATTATTTTGCATTTTGACTGTTTTCAGAATTTTGTTGGAAGGCACCTTGGTCCTTTTCAAGAGAAGGGTGAATTCATAATACCAGTGATAGCTTATTATTCCAAAGGCATGGAATTGCACAGCTGGCTCCTGCCAGCAGAGGCCGCCTGTGAAAACAATGACTCTTGAAGAACATTTCTGGATTGTTCATGTATGTATTGGTACATTTGCTGGGGACAAAAATCACAGTAACAGAAGGTCTGGGGCAATTTAGTTTGGTGCTCCAATTTAGTTTGGAAAAAACTGTTCCCTTTGTAGCCCTGTATTTATTCCCATCTGAAACAGAAACAGAGCGGGTCAGAAGGGGCCACCCGATCCATCTAGTCTGACCCCCGGCTCCAGCCAGCTTCACTCATGACATGCCTACCATGTGCATGTCCAGCCTATCCTTGAACACCTATCTGAATACTGGCTACTATCCATGGAGTACACCTGGCTGGGAAAATTCACCCTTAAACACAATGTGTGTGTGTAACTTTGGTTGTTTGATGCATATTTGTTTTATTTATTAAATATTGAGACTATCCGACAACCAAAGCCAATTTAATCAATATTGTGTGTGTGTAACTTTGGGCCTTTGGTTTATATTAAATTAAATTAAATTAATTAAATTTCTAGACAGCCCAACAGATAAAAGATGTCTGAGCAGTGTACAAAAGAAAGCTTGAAACAATCTCTCCGTAAAGTGTGGGATTTCAGAGTAAGGTAGAAGTCCCGGGGCCGCCCACAGACAGCAGGGGGAGCAGCTGTTGTGTGACGGGCAGCTGGCAGAGGGTCTGGGAGCGCAGGATCTCTCGGCACCTCTGCCTGCATTTGGGTATGGAGACGGGCCAGGCTTGCTTGGGAGCGTCTCCTCCAGATGAGAGCCTCTGTTTTCCGCCAGGGCTTTCCCACCCCCAGCAGCCCTGGACGAGCAGAATGCAAAGCACCAAGCGTCACATTGGGGGTGCCTGGCCTGTTTGCCCCGTCGTGGAGGACGCGACTGAGCTGCGAGAGGGGAGCTCCCACGTACACAGGTAGCCGAGCACCCGCATTCTTGCCCCAGGAGCAGCTGTGGCGGAGCCGTGCGTGCGGACGTGGCAGGCGGGAGTGAGGGAAGGCGGGCCCCCCGCCAACGGCGCCAGCCGCAGACCTGCCACTTCGACGGGGCTGGGGAGCTCGCTGTGGAAAGGGGGACGGAGCGATGCCTGCAGGTGTGCGAGCGGCGGATGCCCGTCCGGTCCCGCAACCGTGCTCGCCAGGTGTGCTCCAAGCGCCGAGGAGCACTTCACGTGGGCAGCAAAGGCGAGTCCCCCGCGAGCCCTGCCCTTGCCCCCCCCCCCCAGCGTGGGCGGCAGCTGTGCTGGATTGGGGGGGCGCAGGGAGGGGCCGTGGCCTAAGGGCATCGCTGCCATTCGGGGCCGTGCGGGGGCTGGGCTGGTCAGAGACGCTGTGTGTGTGCAGGTGGGCTTTTGTAATTGGGTGGGTTGGAGGGTTTTATTGTATTTTTATTGCATTTTAATTGTATTTTATTAGATTGTTTTAATGGATTCATGCCTGGCTGCTACCATGGGGTTACCTGGGGAGCGCGTGGGCGCCACCACTGGGGTGGTTTTGGGCAATGGTCAATATGGCGTTGGGGGTTTAATGAGTCAGCATAGAAGAAGGAGGGACAGATGGTTGACACCTGTTCCCCCTTCTGGTTATTCCCCCAACCGGAAGGTTCCAGGTAAGCTTATCAACCGCCCCTTG